CCTGTGTATGTAAACTTCTCAAAGGAAAAAATGTGAAATATAAAAATTATTGCTTTCACTTCATTTAGGCCAAAGAAGAATCTACCACCAGATAGCTTTTAAATATTTCTTTCATGCTTTACCTCACCTGACAAGCTTCACAGTAGCTATTTGGAAAAAAAGGAAAAGGAAAAACAGTTTTGCTTTTGATCACATTTGGTTTATTGCACAAGTTACTATACTTTGCTCTATTCTCTATTTCTTAGCTGTGAGATGAATATGTATTGTAGTTTGAGCCTTTTGTTAACTTATTTTAATTAATCTCATTCTAGGCCACGGTGAAAATGAATCAGAGAAAACCAAAAAGAGCTACAAACATCACATCCTACTAAACTTTTCACTGGAAAATACATTTTCCTTTATTAACTCCTAAAGTAATAATTATCAATTTTTCCAGGTGGCCAAATGGCACAAATCTGCAAAATGACAGAGTATGTCCACTGGTAAAGTTGGAATGTATCCCAGCACACACAAGCTTGAATGTGAGCACTCTTCCAACTATTTCTTGTTCAATGTAAGTGGCTATTTTCCTTCAGAAAGGCAAGTCAGTCTGCATCTGGTTTTGACTTTAGGATGTGAAAGATTACCTGATTACATTTCCCACACAGCTTCTCATATGTAACATTTTTTACAACTGGTACTATTTAGTGAAATGGATTGTGCTGAAGATGATGCGGAGAAGGCACAAATCTGTAGCTACTCTTTTTAGAGTAGCTACAGATTTTTAGGCTATTTGCAGCTGCTCTTGGGCAATGCCAAGGTAGACACACCCCTTATGCCTCAGACAAATTCAAGGCAAAATTGTTATTCCAAACAGTGCCTCACTTATGTGGGTCTCTAACGGAACAATAAATTACCCGGGGTTTAAGCCCTTCTTCAGCATCTAGGGCAGCTCCATCCAACCAACCCTCCTAGTCCTTAAGGCTGATATTATTACTGTTTACCAGCTCTTGTGTAACTTGTTCCTGCCACTCTCACATGCATCACTGATTGCAACCTCAGAAAGAAAAGGGAAAACAAGAATAATAAATAAAAATAGAAACAAGAGTATACTCCCTTGGTACCGGGGAACTTGGAAACGGCGGGAGCTCTGTGTAAAACCTTGCACGTATAGTGACAGCATCCAGTGCTGGCAGCGGAATGTATTAGGACCACAAGAAAAAAGAATTAAGGCAGGCACGTTTCCTCGGTAAAAATACTCTATTAAATAAAGGTGTGTGTGTGTGTGTGTGTGTGTGTGTGTGTGTGTGTGTGTGTGTGTGTGTGTGTGTGCATGTTTGTATGCGTGTGCATATATATAGATATAAATACATAAAAAGAACCACTGCCGTTGCCTGAAAAGGAACACGTCAGGGAACACGCACTGGGGCTGACGCATTATTGAGTAAGGACCCTCCAAAGGGTGCCCTGTTCTCCCCCGCCCCGAGATGGGGTCCCTTTGTCCGTGCCTGCTCCCGCGGGGAGCTGCCATCGGCGGCCGGGCCGCGTTGCCCACACGCCGTGACTCGACGCTCCGAGCATAAACAAACACGGCTGGAACAACAAAAGGCCGCGGTGGCGGCGGCCGGAGCCCGCAGCCGGGGCTCAGAACGGCCGGGCACGTCCCCGGTGCCGCCGCCCCCCGCTCCGTTCCCACAGGGCTGTCCCCGCCCGCCCCCCGGCAGCTGCCATGTGTCTGCTCGAGTGCGATTAACACCGACTCGCCAAATCCCCCCCGCGCCCGCCTCCCCTCCCCGGGCCATTTGGGGCATGCACGCGCCCGCGCCCCGTGTTTACACGGCGGCGCCTTCGCGCGGAGCCTTTTTGTGGATGGCGCTGGCAGATGAGCCGGGGGAGGAGGGGGCTCCGCGCCGCGCAGCGCCCGCCGCCGGCTATAAAAGCCTCCGGGCCCGCGGGCGGCAGCGACAGGCGAGCGGCCGCGGACCGGCGGAGGATGGAGGGCTGCTGCCCGCTCTCGGCAGCGCTGCCCCCGCAGGGCTACTCGCCCCTCTCCTCCTCCCGGTGCGGGGGGCGGCCCGGTCCCGCGCTGTCCTCGCCCCGCAGTCCTGCGCCCCTCTGGAGACCGTGGGTGCCCGCGCCGGGCGAGGCGGCCCGGCGGGGCGGCCCCTGCCCCGCAGCGGTGAGTGGGGAGCGGCGTGGCGGAGCGTCTGCCGCCGGCATCCCGGCGGGGGGGGGATGCTCGGGGAGGGCCCGGTGCCGTGCCGGCGGGCTGACCTCTGCTCTCTCCTCCGCAGCCTCACAGCCCCGGCGAGCTGGCCGAAGCCTCCCGAAAGCTGGCGCAGTACACGCACCCTGTCAGGTTAGTGGCAGTCTCCTGCCGCCGCCGGTTCCCGCGGGGGACCTCGGGGCACCAGGGGCCCGTGGCGCTGCGAGGCCGGGAGCCGTCCCTCGCTCGCCAGTGTAGTGTCTTAGCATTAGCTCTCCCGCCCCTTTTGTTTCCACCTATATTATTTATGTAGGTATGAAAGTGCCTAGGGAGTGAATTGGCCGTCTATGTGCATTTTAACTGACAGATCCTTGGGCAAATGATTGCCTGGACTCTTGTATTTAACATATTTGAGGTGCCACTGTGGTGTGAGACTTAAGACCTATTACACAGTTACGTGGTTTTTGGTGGTGGTGGAGTTGGCTGAAGCACCTTATTACTAATTCCTGTGCCCAGGATTAAAAAAGGCATAGGGGTGTATTTCCTAGGCTGTGTTGCTGTGCAAATCTCCAGCGCCCTCCCACAGCAAAGAAGCAGGTGGTGGCCTGGGAGAGTGGCAGGAAGAGAAGGTATGCACTGGCTAAGCCACCATTGCCGAAGAACATACTTGTGTAACTGCTGCATTAATGATAAAGACAATGATAGTATCTGCACTGTCAGCTCTGAAATAAAGAAAATAACAACAGTTGAATCTGCATGAGAGTCTGTATTCAGAAATGCTCCTAGGTGTTGCAAGATGCTTAAAATAATTGCACAGGTAGTTTTTTCCAGACAAAATGCAGCTGTGTTTCAAATCTAGGCTCTCATCCTTTAAATAGTGGTGTACTAATTGAGCAACTGTACAGGCAAACTTCACTGTGACTGCTCCAATGCTTAGGTTTGAGTCAATGTTGTTACAGGGAACATTGGGAATGGAGACTTGTTACAAAGCCAATGTCAGTGGCTTTGTGCTGCCAAGGAAACAGTGTTCTGCTAAACAGTAGCCTAAAAAATATTTCTTGCAATTGCTAGAAAGCCATCTACTCCTGTTTCTTACTGCATTTATATTTTAAACAATCTGTAGTCAGCATTTCATTATGTTGTAGTGTGCTAGTCTCTTGGCTATTGGTACTTCCATGGTCTGTTCCTTCTAGCCATTACCAAACTAAGCAAAAGAGGACGGTAGTTGAAACGGAACAGGAACTTGGAGTATATTAATTGCAATTTATTATCATTAGCTGATACCCCATGCTGTGATCTATCAGCATATTTTGTTAATTTCAGGATATAACACAGACTGCTTTAAAATCTACATCTATGGAACATCTTTCTTATGGAGTCTGGTGATTGCTTTCGGAAAGACAGATGAAATATCAAGGTCTGATCACCCCTAGGCCTTTATCATTCCTTTAATTTTACAATGGTGTAAAACAAGTATCAACAACTACCTAGGCTGGGGACCTTCAGTAAGAAAACTACTAATTTGATTCAAATGAAATTTTGATCCTGTTTGATGCCCATTATATTCCTTAGGAATACTGCCCCAGTAGGGGCAGTACTACTTGGATCAGATCCCCAGACAGTACTGTTAATGAGGTACTGGAGTGGGAAGTTTGAGAGTCTTAGGCTTTCGTAGTTTTGTTGCAAAACTAGCACTCTAAATCATATTTATCTCTTCAGATGAAAATAAGAATCCAGAGAATTTTTTTTTCGTAATTGAATGTAGAAAACAACAATTGAACATGTAAGGAAAAGTTCTGTTGGATGCTTGTTTTGATAGAATTTCACTTTGGTTTTTTGCATGTTGCTCCATGTAAAATACGTAATAATGATAAGCAAATCTCTTGTATACTTGTTTCAGACTATTTTGGCCCAAATCAAAGTGCTATGATTATTTGTATCAGGAAGCTGAAGCACTTCTGAAAAACTTCCCAGTTCAGGCTACAATTTCCTTTTATGAAGACTCGGACAGTGAAGATGGCGAAGATCAACTGGAACAAGATTCAAGAACAGAATCAGGTTGCTGACTGCAGGGAAGACTAATGCTACTTCTAAGACTTAATTTAAACTTAATATAAATATATATTATAGTATTTTTAAAGATAATTTATTTCTATGTAAGTTATTCTTAATAAAACTGAGATGTCTTGTAATTTTATCCTTTTTCCTTTGTTCTGTTCTTGTCCTGGTTTAAGTGGGGAAGGTATTGATTAGTATTTTTATATCTGAGGTCCTGTAGTTTGTGGATCATAAGTTGAACACCAATTTTTGAAGCAGAGAACAGATGCCTTACTTTGAAGGGTTTTACGGTTATGTGGCTTTCTCAAAGTCTGAGGACACAAGGAAAGCTTATCATTGTGATTTAGCAGGCTCCTTATGGAAGTATAACAAGGAATCATTGGATTAAGTATTCCAATTGGGTTGTGCCTGCTGTTACAACAGAGTTTCAAACATGGAGAAGAGAAACAATATAGCTGTTTTTGAAACAGAGGAAAGAGTCCAAATTCCAATCTAGTTCTTGTTGCGTAGAAGAGTTTGCCTTGCATCACTAATGTTCTCATGTGCTGTGTTCTTATACATAAAAGTGATAGTTTCATACTGTGTTTGTTTGTAAAGCAGACATCAAGAAACGAGAAAAATATCTGAGCTGTTATAATTGAAACAAAGTTGGGTACCAATCATCGTGAAGGCCAAAGCCCCTAAAAGAACAACAAAACAAATCCAAACCTTTAAATTAAAGGCCAGTGCCTCTGTCAGGTAGCACCTGTGTACCTACCTGGCGCTGCCCTTGCCTTGTGCGTGCTGCTGCAGGCCGCGCTGGCTCAGCGTGCCCGCAGCAGCCCGGCAGTGCTTGCCCCATCCCGTGTGCGCCCAGGGGCCCTCAGAGCCTTCTCACACTGAACCTTCAGAGCGTGGGGTGCGCCAGCCGCGTCTGCACAGCCTCCCAGCCTCAGCACCTGGCGTGGGACACCTGGACGGAAAGCCAATCCTAGTGCAGGGGCAGGCAAATCCGCCCGCCCCAGGGGGAGACAGGGCAGCAGCGGGGTACGCGGAGCTCCCTGCCCACAGCGCGGTCCACTCCCGGGCGGTGTCCCGCAGCGCCGGGCCCCACTCCCGGCCGGGCCGCGACCCCGCCCGCCGCGGCGGCGCCTGCGCGCTGCGCCCCAGCGCTCCGCCCGCCCGCCGCCGGGGCCCGGCCGCGGCCCGGCCCGGCACCATGCTCAACGTGCCGCCCTCGGCCTTCCCCGCGCCCGGCTCCCAGCAGCGAGCGGCAGCGGGTGCCCGCAGCAAGGTACGGGCGGCTCTGCCGCTGCTGGGGGGAGCTGAAGGGCGCCCGCGTTTTTCGCGCTGTGCGGCCGCGGCTGCCTGGCCTGGCCCCGCCCGGATTTGCGGTGGTTCCCGGCCGGTTCCCCGCCGGTTCCCGGCTGCAGCTGGGGCAGGGCTGCCGCCGGCCGCCCCCTCCAGCCCGCGGCAGGGTCCCCGGCTCGGGGCCGGCTGGGCCGCGCCGCTGGAACGCACTTGGTGCTCCTCGTTGGAGCGGGCGGCGGCGATAACGCTTCCGGCACTTCCTGCCCCGGCTCTTCCTCCTGTGCGGGGATGGAGGCTTTCACCTTGGAATTACTGCGTGCAGTTTATGCTTTATATGTTCGATCTTCATCTTTGGAGGGGTTTTGAACACTTCTTGTCTAGAGACCTTTCTTGGAAAGCAGACTTGGACTAAAGTCGCATTAACAAATGTTAGTTTATGTACGCTTTCGTTTTCTTGCTTCTGTTTTTCCTGTGGTTTTGTAAGAGCGCAGTTCTTTAACCCTGTTTCCTGTTGTTAAAGCTTGGATCAAAAGGGTTCCCAGACTGTGGCCTTATTTGTTTACTGTTTCTTTAAATGCTTTGAAAATACTCAGAAAATAAAGGTTCTGCAGTATGGGTGTGCTTTCTGCAAGGAATTGCAAATGTGGTGTTGTAAAGTGTGATTCACTGAGTTGGCATTTTTTAGAAACAGACATTAAATGGGTCTCCATTACTCATTAGGTGGTGTTGAAAAGGAAGGTGTTAGATACCCTGAAGATCTTGTTCTGCCTTTCAGGACAGGCAGGGCATGGCAGTGCTTCTCTGGAAAGCTACTAGACTTCTGTCCTGCCTTTCTCTGGGTGCCTTCCAGTTGCTGTAGGGCTTGTGAAAAGTCTTAATGAATGTTGTGAAGGTAAAACTTATCTTACCTGACCATGATTTTTAAATTTCCTTTCTTTATTGCTTATAATTTTCCAGACCATATCTCAAATGATTTGCCACCACAGGCAGAGTTGGCAAATTGTTTGCTTTGGGAATAATCATCTGAATGCGTGTTGCTATTCACTCATTTCTGTGTCACTACCCAGAACACTTCCTTAAGCACCCTTTCTACTCAGTAGGGCTCCTAAATATCAGTGAATAATATGAGTTGGGTTATTTCTCTTTTGTTTTTACTGAACCTTCCTATGGAGCTTAGAAAAGTGTATTCTTAGAATGGCTTTTTCTTCCTTTAGAGCTTGAAGTTGTTTGTATATTTGTTATTTTTCAGGTACCTTTAAAACCAGGAAGGAGTCTTATGGATTGGATTCGGCTAACTAAAAGTGGGAAGGACTTGACTGGTTTGAAAGGGAGGCTGATTGAAGTTACTGAAGATGAGCTCTCTAAACACAACAGAAAGGAGGATTGCTGGATATGTATAAGAGGTTGGTGATGTTTCTTCTGTGTTTTTTACCTGGCTTCTTTTTTCTGTACTTAAAGAAGAAGCAACAAAACTCAAAAAACAAAAACAAAAGCCACACTCCAAGAGAAGCTATGCACCTCCTGTGTTTGGGCCAGGTGTAATCTTGACATACTTTGCATAACTTCAAGTAAGAGATTTTGTGTTACAAAGATTTTTTTTGCTTTCAAGCCTTTCAAAACAAATCTTCCAAATGGGCATATTTTATACTTATTTTACAGCTGCCTATGAAAATAATAAACCACAAGATTTTAGGTAATGTATCAAATGAAAAGTGAGACTTAGCAAGAAAATAGGGCTTTGAAAATGCTGACATGTACACTCATCAGCCTTGGACAGTTTATTATTTTGAGCAGTTGACTATTTTTAAGGATTGCTTTAGAGCATCCAGAGACATATAAATATTAAAAATACCACTTAAACCTGGAGAATGGTCTTTAGGAAATAATTGTGAAAGCACACATACTACTTCATAAAACTTAGTAAGGCAAATGACAGTTGCCACGTGGAACAATACCTGTAGCTAGAAGAGTATTTTCAGAGTTGCAAATGAAGTTCCTAACTATCCTACAGAAAGGAGTAAAACATTTGCTCTGCAGTTTAATCATTTAGAGGCTAAAATACATTAATAGCACTGTAAGTTTAGTAGGAGATATTGCCAGTTTCTGTGAAGATAGAACACTCATACTACAGAAATGTCCCATTAGCTTCTCTGATCTCCTTAATCTGTGAATGATAACATTGATCTGGTAAGGAACAGCACTGATATTTAATAAATGTCATGTCTGAACTTCAGCAAAAAAAAAAAAAAAAAAAAAAGTTAAGAATTTCTGTGTGGGGGTGATTGTATTATTGTTGGGTGTTAAAGGGGATGAAAGTGAAAGTAAAGGTAGAATGTTATTCAGTACTGGCCTTTGAGCAAAATAATAGGATTGTTAATTCCCTGTGCTGCAGTTGCATGTGCTACTAAAACTATAGTGGGAGGAGAGCTAAAGAAAGCTTGTTTGCTATGTTCATCTGTTCGTTTTTCACTCTGAAAAAGGAACATCTACTGCAGACAGAATTACTGCCTAAAATGCTTCTGTTTTCTTTTTAATCTCATCTTAACTATACTGTATCTCTGAGGCTGGTTTTTACAAGAACTCCATCAAGTTGCCTCTATATCTTTCCTTAAATTTTTCTAGGTCTGCCTTTTCTGTGTTCTCAGATGACTAGTGAAAAAAACATCATAACTGAAAATCACAGTAGCCCTCATATGTGGACAGGTAGTAAAATAATATAACTGTGGAAAAACTAAACTAGGTCTCTGCATTGGTAGTTAGACTGTGTCTCTAAAAGAAAGATCAGAAACCCATGAGAGCAATGTGAAGTAAAAGAAGAACAGGAACTAACTTGGTTCAAAACCCCAGTGTGATCAAAACAAGCTGTCATATAGGGCACAAATTTGTACATAAGGGGGGCTCAGGGGAATTAAAAAATGCATGAAGATTGTATAAATGACACTTCTTTTGCTCCAGCAAGTATGATGGTAAACTAGAATAATATTCAGGAGGCCATGGCTACCCACAGTCTTATAATTTATTGTGTGCAGTAATCGCTGCTGCACACAAGATGGCACAGTGAATACAGCCACGAGAAGAGCAGGTCGGTAAAGTGTGCAAAGATCCTTCCTTTGTTATTGACTGGGTCTTTGTTGTTTCCTGGGATGGTTGTTTCTGCCAGCTAGGATTGCTCCAAGTGTGTCTGCCCCAGGCTCAGTGCTGAATGCCTTTCTCTCTTCTGAAGTAACTAATGTACACTTCCTAATGTCTTCAAAGCTTTTCCTGCAAGCGCTGGCACAGTTCTGTTTTTGGTGGCTTCCTGTTTTAATCATGTTAAATGTCTTTAAATATTCAGGCAGGTAGGGATGCAATTATCATGTTAGCAGCAATATGTCTGTTAAATCAGTTAGTTAAATCAGTTTATAGCTGTATTCTTCAGGCTCCAATACCCAGTTGCTTAGCAGCAATAATCAGCCTTCATAATTTCAGATCTGTGAAGAAACATAGTTTTATGTTGCTGGAAGTCCTGCATTCTGAGCCCTTTTACTGGGACAGATACAACCAGAGTTGTAAGCATTTAATGGGCACAAGTTGTGTTAAGTTTCTTATATTGCTGAGTCTGAAGAATTGAAGTTTTGTTGCTGATAGTGACAGTGTTTCCTTGTGTGAGACAGTTCATTCCTGTAGGCATTTCTTTCCATGATGGTGGTGAGTACTACCAAAACAGCTATGACAACACTTCAGGGATAACTTAACTGGAAGGGAAACTACAAACTATTTTGTGCACTAACTGGTTCAATTTTGTCTCTTTTTAAACCTGCCTGTGGTACTTTTACCCTCTAGTTAGGATACATCATATTCAATTTCTAGGTTGAAGTCTTAACCCAAGGCAAGTGGTGTGGCATTGTAGGATTGGCATCTCCATGTAAGAAGATACCTCTTGTGCTCTATACAATTGTCACTTAGGTTTCTGTTTTTGTGAAGTCATACTGCCTGTTCCAATTATGCCTGCTGTTTGCTAATACACTCTTTAATTTGTGCTAACCTTTCCGTTATTTTTGGATACAGGAGTGGTTGTAGAAATGCTGCTCATATGCTTTTCTGTTTTCTTTAGGATTTGTATATAATGTCACGCCATACATGGAATACCATCCAGGTGGTGAGGATGAACTAATGAAAGCAGCAGGAACTGATGGTACAGATCTCTTTGATCAGGTGAGTACAACTGGCAGCAAATGACACTTGCTCACCATACTTGAAAAATGCATGTTTTATGGTTATTTTTAGGGCAATTAAATGGAAATGGTGATTTGAACTTTTTCAGTCCTAAGGAAAGGCAGCTAGTCACTTCTCAGAATGATACTTACATGTGCTGGAAGAGATACGTAGTTTAAACTATGTAGCAAAAGACAGTAATGAAAATATCACTTATGTTGTTAGAATTATACTTCAATTAGACTTCATTTTTTTTAGCAGAAATGGCAATGAAGCTAGCAACAATTTGAGATACCACCTTCTTAATAAATTGTTACAATGACTTCTGTTGTTGGAGAGACCTATTTTTCTAAGAGCTTTCACTTTTTGAAAAAAGCTTATAGAATTCTTTGTCTATTTACTTGGCAGCTGCATTATCAGAAAAATGCTGGAGCTTCTGTTAACTTTAACTGGTGAACAACTCATAAGATGACAGTTGGTCTCTTATTTGTTTACTATTTCTTTAAATGCTTTGAAAATACTCAGAAAATAACTGTTCGGCAGCATGGGTGTGCTTTCTGCAAGGAGTCACAAACTTGGTGGTATAAAACATGATTCACTGAGTTGGTATTTTTTAGAAACAGACAT